ATATATATATATATATTAAAAAAAAAGTGGATACTTAATTTGGGTACACTTAGATATTTTGTGGGTACATATCCAACCCCATATTCAAGTCCAAAATAAAGACCTATATATGTCAATAAAAAAAATAGGTTTTCTATTATTTTTATTTGCTCCAAAATCTCAATTCTCATCCATGAGTGACACTACATAAAACATGTTTGATTTATCGTTGAATTTCATTAAACGGAATAAACACACACTCCAAAGCACCAAATTGAGAAGTAACATTTTTTATCTTTTTCGTTAAACGTGATTTTGTGGGTTTTGGACGATAAATCAAACACACATAATTCATCAACCACTGCATCCAACATTCAAGACTCAATCTCCCAAATCATTCACCATATATACTTCTAATTAATATCCAATGTCCAAATTAATCTATTCAACTTTTTGTTGATGTTTTTAAATCTATTTGACTCATTGATGATGTTTTCACAATACAATTTTTATATTTTAGTATGGTTCAACAATCTCCAAACTTCAATTTATTGCATTGAAACTTATCTCACAACCTTCATCATCTTCTTATTGTAAACTGAAATCTAGACAAGGGTGACTTTGGTTCCACATTTACTAACACACTAATAGTCATAGCTTATGGGAGACATGATCTCTTTTTTTTTGAACAAGTTTCCAAACACATTATACATCTATTTTGAAGGAGTAAGGATTTGAATGCGAGCTTTGAAGGCAGCAAGAAATGGTTCTCTAGGTGGCAGAGTTTCTTTAACAAAGGGATGGTTGAGCACTTGGTGAGTCCAGTTGTATAGCTTTGGGAATTTCTCACTTGTCAGCAACTCCAACCCCACAATTTGTTCAATCGCTGGGAGCCAAAAAGCTACGCAAGTTCCAACAATGTCCACCAACCCTAATGTTTCTCCACCAAAGAATTTGTCCTTAAGCTCATTCTCAAGAATCTGAAGCACCTCGTGCGATTCTTCGATAGCCTTCTCACGCTCTTTCTCATCTAAGGTCGTTGCAGTTTTCCATATAGTAGACATGCACTAGTCACGTGAATTAATGTATATTAGGACTTGTGATGATTTTGTTTGGCAAATTTAGATTATGGTACTGAATTAATCTAATTTAATTGAAGAGAGCACTAACAACACTATTGTTAATACTCAATTAATTTTTTTTGTTATATTTTTTAATACCGGTTAAAATTACAAAATTGTAAGACATAGTAATCAAATAAGTGGTGAGAATGATAAAGGTTTGTAGTTTTTAATAAATTTTAACTAATAAAAAAATACTAAAAATCATGTTAAAAATTCTTCAAATTAAGTATTAAAAATTATTTAAGGAATTGACTTCTCTCATCAAGTCTCAACAATTGTTTTTTCATACTTCCGGATCAACGATTAAACTTCTGATTAAATGTTTAAATAACAAAATTATTTACCAACTATATTACGTTTTATTGATATGGTTGGCTTGTCATATGTCCAAGGATATATGCTATGGAAAATTGGGCACCTCGGGTACCCAGAGTGGCTTGAAGAAGTTAGTGAAAATGAAAGGATGTGGTTCACTATATTTAATTTCCATTTTGTAGAATTAAGATTTAGAACTGCATTTCTTGCGGTTCAATTATGAAATCTAGAGGATCAAATTCCCAGCTCATCAGTTAGTGGTGACAAAGTCTTGGTCCCCACGATCCACAAGTCAGACTTCAAGGTGGAGCCACTTGTGAGGATTATTTTCTTCTTATCACCATTTATTCTAGGTTAGATGGATTATTTTTTGACCAAAAGTAACTAGACTGAGAGGCTCTCAATATATCACTGTATTTTTTAATTTCTTATTCAAAAGTTTGTCCTTGTTTATATGCTTTTTAGTTTAAAGTGATATTAATATTATTTTATTTTTAATTACACACACATATATATATATATATAATATTTATATATTTATTTATTATAAAAAAATAACAGTTATATTTAATGTTAAAAATAATTTTGATATAAACAAAAATAGAGTTTAATAAGTGTAGAAAAAATTACTTAATCAATTAATTAAAAACGACCTTAGATATGATTTTTAAAATAATTAGAGGTTTGATCTGCAGAGACTTATTATTTTATTACATATACTTAAAACTTCTAGTTTTAGTCTCTATACGAGCAGGCGGCATTTTAGAGTGTGAGAATACTTGCCCCACTACTATTTGACATATATATAAATTTTCACTTAAAAAATAATATATTTTAAAAAATAAAAAATTATATTTTACTAAAATAAATATATATGTTTAAATTATGATATGCATAAAATATAAATTCGAAGAAAATATTTATTTATTTGATGTTTATCAAATTTTTAAAGGAAATTAATTATCTTATGTGATAAAGAATATTCTTTAATATCAAATCAATTTTTAAAAAAAAGTTTTATTATTATTATTATTATTATTATTATTATTATTATTATTATATATCTTAATACTCACATATGTAATGTAATATATTAAAAAAAATTTTTGATAAAATAAAATTTACAATATGCATGTATTCTTTTGTGTTTTCTATTTATTGTATACGTTGGTTAAAGAAATCAAAATAAGAAAAATTGAAAGATTTATGTTTCATTTAGAATTATTATTATAAAATATATTTTAAAATAAATTATCATCTAAAAATATATATTGATATTAAAAACATGTTTATATCATAAATAAATTAAACTTGATTTTTATGAAATTTAACATATTTATTTTTATATTTTTAATAGTATTAAATTATTATAAAGTATGTCTTTAGGATTGTAGTTCTACCCAAACATTTAAAAAACTATCTATGATAGATAAATAAGTCATACTTAAGATATATGTTTTTAAAGAAACTTATATTCAAATCTACTAAATTGTAATAAAATCTAGTATGACCTAATTTATTTTCATATTTAATTATAATCATAGATATAAAAGCTTGTAAAAAATAATTATGGTATATATTTATACCTTTAAATATTATACATAAAATTTTTAATATTTCAAATATATAAATAAGTATTGCCTTTATTATCTAAAATTTCTGTATGAGTAATTTTATTTTATTTTTTTACATTTTAACCCTCGTGTCTATATGTTGTGATAGTTTTACATGAAAAAAAAAAAAAAAAAAGACAAAACATAAAAGAAAATGTTTATATAAGAACTAAAAACATAAAGTTTTTAGATATATAGATTAAACCAAAAGAATTGACACAATCTAATTAGACTTAATAATTATCACAAAACTTAATGATCTAAACCAACGCGATTCAATGTGTATAAAAATAGAGAATGTTCATAATTGGACGAACCTTTTCATCAATGAACTTGGTCCAGAAACGAGCCAAGGCTCTTGAATAAGGTTCTTGAGGCAAGATGGGGTTCCCTTTCCATGTCTCCTCTATATATTCAAGAATCACAAGGGACTCCGTTATGGGATTCTCATCGTGAACAAGCACAGGAACCTTTTTATGAATAGGGTTGTATTTGAGAAGGAGTTGGCTCTTGTGCTCCAAATTTTCTTCCAAGAGTTCATATTGGACTCCCTTCAGTTTCAGAGCAAGCTGCACCCTGTAAACAAATGGGCTTCCAACAACTCCCAAAAGCTTCACTTTTTCTTCTTCATTTTCAGCCATTTTAGCACTTCAATTTGTTTGGCCTAAAGCGCACTATGACACAATCAATGAAGTAAGTGACTCTTGGTCTTTATTTACTCGTAAGTTCTTTTGCCTTAATATATAGATGTAGAGATACGTTGTCGTAAGAAAGTTAGATTTTATTTTTTAACATATATTGACTTCTTCAATATAGACGGCCTCATTTCAATTTTGGAATATATCTTCATTGACCATTAATTATACAATAATCAATGAAGAGAGAGAATATAATGAATATTTTGATTAATTTATATGGAGAGAAAAATTGGAGAGACACGATTGAATCCATATTAACGGTCAACATCAAGTTATCATCATCTCACTCTAAAATCTTGATCGCTAAAAGATATTTCTTTTCATTTGGAATATAAGTAAAAAAAGAAAATTGTTTGTCGAAAAAATATAAGTAAATCTCATTTGATTTCTATTAAAAGATAAATAATAATCTTATTAGCTAAAGATAATAGCGCATATACATAAGATGTGTGATAAATACAACACATCCTATGAGTGTGTGAGTTTCTTTTGAGAGGGAGTGAAATTAACTTCAACCATTAGAATAAATTTAATGATTTTAGATTAAAATACTACCAATTAATTTACCACATACTATTACCATTATATTATTATTATTATTATTATTATTATTATTATATATTATTATTATTATTATTATTATTATTATTGTTACTATCACCATTGGAACTCCATGATTGTTATCATTTTTATTATCATGAATTCTTCATTGTTGTCATCATCGTTATCATCATCATTGTTATTATTATCATTATTATTGTCACTATTATTGTCACCACCGACACCAATGTTGTCATAACTATACCATGATCATATATTTTTTACTATTGTCATTGTCACTATTATCATTCGAACTCCATTACTACTATTGTTGATGATATATTGCTTGCCACAACACCTACCACAAGGACAATATTGAGAAGAATGCAAGAGGAGCGAGGTCGAGGTGAAGGTAGAAGGCCTAAGTTTCTATTGAACTATAGGTTTGTTTCATTGCTCATTCTTTTCTTTGTGTAAATATTTTTCTTTTATTTTGATCTTGTATTTTGGCTCAAGTAGTATAAGAATTTGGTCCTTGTATTGTTTTTTCTTGAGAGTATAATTAGTAGTTTATGGGAGGTGTAAGTAGCTAAGGTTATGATAGGTTTATTTGGCTTGAATGATCCAAATTTTTTTATGCCTCATAGGTTTGGACGTCCAAACCAAATTAATCTTGTTATCCAAGTTGTTAATTAAGTTGCATGACTTTTAGCAATGACATCTCAACAACTTATTAAAAGTAACCATTAAATTGGTAGTTATAATTGTAACATCCCAGTTTTCAAAATTATTATTATTATTATTATTATTATTATATGGTACTTGGTCATAATTATTTTAATAATTATAGAGGAATATTATTTTATACGTTTTAAATAATTATTGTTTTGGACAATTATTTTGTACGTATTAAATAAGTATTTTTATTAGTATTTTTAAATAAATATTTATATGTTTTAAGAGAAGGTTTATTTTATATGGTATTTTGTTATTGAAATTATATTATTATATTTTGGGTCAGAAATATATTATTATTATAGAGGAAAAACATTTTATAATATACATGTATTTATTTTATTTAATTATTTTGAGGAAAAAGAGAAGTGGCTTAGAAGAAAAGAAAAATGGGTTGGGTTGACCCAGCCAGCCCAATGGATTAATTTTAAGAAAGAAGTTAGGTAGCGTTAACCCTATCTGTCTCGTTTGCGTTCTGAAGGATTAGGAAAAAAAAAAGAGGAGAAACAAAGAGCTCTAAGGAAGAGTACTCAGGAACGATCTTAGATCACACCAAGACCATTCGTCTTCTGCTCATCCAGGTAAGGGGGGAGTGAGAAACCTTGCTCTGGGTGTGGGGATGTATGTTGGGTAGTGGGATTGACCCCCAATCCTATGTTTGTTATATGCTTATTTATGAAGAGTTTTTCCCAATTATATATGTTTCTTCTATTTGCTCTATTTATATGTAAATATAAATGTGTAATTTGAGATCTCTAAGGGAATGCATTGGTAATTGTAAGAGGTAAATTTTAAATGTTTTTTGTTTTACCTTCTGAGTTTTCTGCTGTGTTCCTTAATATTTGCTGAGTGTAAATATGTGTCTAATTTTGAAAATAAACAAGTTTTGATATGAATTAGAGTGCTTTGTGGGTTCATGTGTGAACCCTATGAGAAACATACATATTTTTAATATTTTATGTTTTACTTTCAGATTGTTCTGTTGTATTCCTTATTGGATGAGATGTATGAATATGTATTTAATTTCGCAAATAGATGAGTTTTGATATGAATTAAAGTGCTCTGTGAAAATGGTGAATATGATGTGATAATGTGAATGTGATGATGTGAATATAATAATGAGATATGATGATGAAATGTGATGATGAGATGTGATGATGACTATGTGATATGAGAATGAGACATGATAATGTAATATGAGGATGCATAGAGTCTTGATTGACATGCATCATGTGCATAAATGTTTTTAAGGGTACGATATGGAATACACTGCCAGAGAAGGTCCCCTAGTGTAAAAGCTTTGGGGATTAGTCCTTAGGGATAGCTCGGTTTGTACGTCTCAGTCTCGCCCATTGTGTGCATGGGATGTATCTTGCGCGGCTTAGCTATCCCGAGACTCTGGTAGTATGTCCTTCTAGTGAGAGTGCGCAGAGGGTGTGACCTGGCATGTACTCCTATACTACTCTTCGTGTATTGCTAGCGACAATATGCCATGTGATATGTTACTAGCACCACATGCATGATAAAATGTAGTATGTGTCCATCCATGTACATTTTAATGTTATATGATAAATTGATATTTTTATGTCTTGAATGAGTGAGATGTGATATTATTATTAATTTATTTTTGTTATATATGTTTTGTTTGTGTTTGGCTATCCGGTGTATATTCCTACTCTGTGAGCTAGAGTGAGATGTTTCTCACTCCCTTTTCTTGTGTTATTTTTCCTTGACTGCCTTACAGGTTATTATCAGCATGAGGCTGAAGATGTTGGTGATGAAGCTTAGGCTTCTATATTGGGATTTGCTCTGATAGGACATGTGACATCGGGCGTAGATAGGATTAGATTAAGATATTTTTATTAAATTATTTTGGAAACTTTAGTTTTATTTCTTTGTAATTCCGCTGATTTTGTTAAGTTATGGGTGTGATACTCTCTATCTGAACACGTTTGATATTTTAATTATGAAATTTTATGTTATTCAAATTTTATTATTATGTGTTATGGTATGCGGGATAGAGGGTGTCACAATAATGATTAGGTTAGACAGTTAAAGTTAATTTAAGCTAACCTAGGTTATTCTTGAACTAGGATTAACTTAACTTGTTTCATAAGCTTCTAGACAATTAGCTAAGATTAGTTAACTTAAGTACAAGATAGCTAACCATAGTTACAATGGTTAATCTAGCTTGTATCATAAGCCAACCAACTCTATATATTATTTCCTACATGTATTGGCTAAATTCACTTTAAGATATATGAATAAACACATTTGAGTTTTTCTCTCTTAAAATCTTAGTTTCTTCCTTGGAGAAATCTTTTCTTAGATATTTTATAAAAGAATTCCTCGTGAAAAGATCAACACTTCTTACTTATCTTTCATTCTTGAGAGTGACACACCATCTTCTTGTTCTTTTGACCATTTTTGTGATTTTCAAAAGCTTGTTCCATCCATGGAGGAAGATTAGGCACAATATAGAGACTAATGAAGGAGTACATCAATCACCTCCAATGGTTTTCATCATATTTGGTATCAAAGCTTTGGTTCATCTATGGAGGAAGATTGGGCACAACATGGAGACTAGTGGAGAGTACATCAATCACTCTCCAATGGTTTTCATCATATTTGTTATGAGAGCTTTAGTTCTTCCATGGATGTTTTCTCTCAATTTTTCATGTCTTGTGTTGTCTTCTTACATGTCTACAAGTAATTGTTATTTAGATATAATTATTTGCACAGTTTATGATAGATCTAATATATCTTAAAATTTTTGGTTCAAATGCATGATTAATGTTAATTTCTATGAACTAATTTTACATGTTGTAACTTAGGATTCTTGTTTTATAAATGTAGACTATAAGTTATTTAGAGTAATTTTATCAAAATTTATTCTTCGAGTGAATTCCTCCCCTTCATATTTATATACACAGATAAGTAGAGCTGTTAAAATGGGTCACCTAATCCCAACCCACTACGGGTTGGTGGGTTAAACAGGTTGGCTCACCTAGGGTGGTGTGAGACTGTGAGGTTCCCTATGGTGGCACGTGGCGCAGGCAGTGGTGCCAGGACAACGGTGGTGGGTAGCCCCAAACAACATGCGCGGTGCGAGGTGGCCTAGGGTGGTGACACGAACGGTAGCTCGCGACACATAGCGGTGCACACACGGTGGTGCATGGCGCGAGGTGGTTCATGACACGAGTTGTGGTGTGGTGGCCCGAGGTGGTGCACGTGTTGTCGTGCCTTAAGTGTGAGCGTGAGGTGCGACCACGCGAGCGATGACATGGTGTATGAGTGAGCGTGAGGGTGGCTCTGGCTTGTGGATGAGGGGTTGGTTGCACTGTAGTGAGGCGTGAGGGGCTATGAAATTCAGAAGAAAGTTGAAACCCTATCTCATCTGTAACTTATCTAAACATTGGGCTGAAACCTGAAAGTGAAAATTGCAAACTACAAAGGATGAAATACAGACTCTATCTCATGCTGAACTGCACCATGACCTAATAATTATTGTATTCTTTTTTTAATCACGGGTTGGTGAGCCAACCTGGCTCACCAAAGGTTTAACTCAGGTTGTTACTGAGCTGGGTTCAAAATTGACCCATAAAATTTTTAATTTTTTTTCAACTCAATCCAACTTGAACCCTTAGTGGCCCAAGTTGGCTCACCGGGTAAAGCCCACTTTAATAACATTATACATAAGTAGATCGGTTGATACCAAAAATTAAAGTTATTGAAATTAAATCTTTAATAATTTTTAATTTATAAATAAATTTTAATATAAAAAATTAATTAGATAAAAAAATTTAAATAATCTCTCCGTTAATTTTATTCAAATATCCAAAGGAAGACAAAATGCACAAACACTACAATTTTACACTATATTCCAGCTTGTAGATATGTAATTTTTTATTTAACAGAATGAAATTTGGTACTAGAGTGTTTATTATAACTCACCTGTCTTACTCATTCAACTAACCTAGATCTGCTTATTCGTGAAGAAGTCTCCGACTCTCTTCAAGATTTAATATTACGCAATAAATTTTTCCCCAATCATGAGCCTCTATCACACTCACAATTGGTCTATTTGGAAGCAGCAATGATGGATGCATATCGAGCTTTGAAGAAGCCCACAACTTTCTCCCTTTGGGGCAGGGTCTTTTTCACAACAGGGTGGTTGGTGAATTCTTGACCCCATTTATGAAGCTTTGGGAACTTGTCAGAAGTCAACAACTTCAACCCCACAGCCTCTTCGATCGCAGGGAGCCAAAAAGCTAAATAGCTTGCGGCTATGTCCACAAGGCCAATACTCTCTCCACCAAAGAACTTGTCTTTCAGTTCATTCTCTAGGTACTCAAGAGCCTCCAGTGATTCCTCACTGCCCTTCTCACGTTCTTCCTTGTTTGCAGTAAATGCGGCCTTTAATATTGCTGGCAGGCACTAGATTGAGAGAAAAATGTTGAAGATTCATGTTAAATGTTCATGATGATTGATGGATATATGCACTTAAGTGAGAAATTTTGTGGTATGTTCTGAAAATGTAGATAACAATTAGCACAAATCAAAGTACTTGCAAAGTAAATAAATTGGTGGTTAAACTTCATAATTTAATTAGTATCGATTTAAATATATTTTTTATTTTTTTCATGAGGTAAATAATTTGTTTTTAATTTCTTATATTTAAAATTAATTTTAATTTATATAATTAAGAAAAACTTACTTAATTAGTCCTTGTGATAAAATATTTTGTTAATTTATCAAACAAAACTTATTTATTACTCAATTTCTCACACATAATTCACTTACTAGTATTTTTATTTATAAAAAACATTATATTCAATTTGTTCTTAATAGTGATGTTTTTGGTGATTATAAAGGACCGAAAAGATATTTCTTCTTTTCATATTACATGATTACAAAAATTCATTTTAAATTTAAAAGATTAGAAATAAATCTATTCTAAATTAAGAAAATTAAAAATATATATTTAGTCTTACTTATTTATTTTTACTTTAGTAATTCTTCAAGGAGTGTCCTCTTAAGGTAAACTAATCATAGCTTAAATAAGCTTCTGCATGTGAACCTTTATTCCAATGGGGCAACCTAGAATGATATATTGTAGCCAAAGCAGGTTACGAAACTTAATTGCTTTCGGAGATGCTCAAACCACAAAATCAAAATTTAAGCTAAGTACTATATACTATAAACTAAAGAGTAGTTTTGTTTTTTTCTTACAACCACACTTGACCAGAAACACAAATAAAATAAAAAATATATATATATTTACCCTATACAAACATATAATTTAACATATTCCTGTAAAAAAAATTAAAAGAAAACAGTTATATATGACTTACTTTGTCATCAATGAACCTTGACCAGAAGCGAGCCAAGGCTTTATCATAGGGTTGTTGAGGCAACAAGGGGTGGTTGCTCCCCCATATCTCATCAATGTATTCAAGGATCACAAGGGACTCAGCCAAGGGTCTTCCTTTGTGGACAAGCACAGGCACCTTCTTGTGAATAGGGTTGTATTTCAGAAGAAGTTCACTCTTGTTCCTAAGATCTTCTTCAAAGTAAGTGTATTGCACTCCCTTCAGGTCTAGGGCAATCTGCACCCTCTTAGCAAAGGGGCTTCCAACCGTACCAAAAAACTTAACCTCTCCATAATCTTTGGCCATTGCAAGCTTAGAACTTCTACCTTCTCTACAACTCTGAATGTGGCCTATGGTTAATTTTGCACGGTTTTAAATGATAGAAAGTGTTACACGTAAAGTTGGCTGAAGCATTAGTTTGAATTAGGTAGGTTGTAGGTATAATTAGTGATGTAGAGAACCCCACGTCTACACCTGTGTTAAAGTACCTTCAATGCTATATTAATTATAGAAGGAAAAGTACTATGATTAAATACTTAAATATATAAATGTTATGTTTATTTTTATTTTATATTCTTAATTTCTTGGTCATCGTGTTATTGATACGAATTAATTTTGTCTATAATTAATCTTTGTAAGATAATTTAATTGACTATTTTTAAATGAAATTTCTCTTTTTAATTACGCTTTTTTTTTCATATATAAGATTCTAATTTTATTTAAAGTTACCACACAAATCAAACACTTATCATTTCTCTCTATTCTTGATTGAGATTTTATTAATATCGCTAAATACTTTAATTTTATATGATAGTAATTCTATATTATTTTTCTTCATGAACTAGTTTTGTTATTGTTTAATGTATTTTTTTTATATATTTTTTGAAAATTCGTAAATGCTTATTAACTTTTAAGTTTTTTTTCGTAAGTTAATTTTTTCATTTTTTTTCGAACTTCGAGTATTCATATCTTCAAATTCAGATAAAAAAATATCCTCAAATTAATTTCTTTGGTATTTTTTTATTTTTTGAAATCTCAATCACGTATTAAAATTATTTTAATTAACATGTACGTATTTTTCAAACAAAAAAATTAAATATTTTCTTTTGATTAGCATTAATTACTTGAGACAACTTTTGAATTTTTATTTTACTCGGATCACTTGGGCCTGTTTGTAAAGATTTTTTTAGTAAAATAAACATTATATTATTATGTGTTTGTCCAATTACATTTAAAAAAAATAGGTTTTTACTGGTTTTAAGAAACAATCCAGTCAACCTGTAACTGATTCTTTAATATTTTAAAAAAATTACTATTTTAAAAAAGTTTTTAATTTTAATTAAATTAGTCCATATTAATATTTTTAGTTACTTCTTATTAAGGGAATGATTTGGTTGCGTAATTGAGAAGATTTCAACGGAAGTTTTGATTACATTTAGGGAAATTTCTTAGCTATTGTTTCGACTGTAAGTTCGTTGTCATCGTTAAGGTCATTGTATCTGAGATATTATTCGCTTTGACGCTCGTTAAACTGTCATGGTTTTGTAGTTGAAAAGGTGTCTCGGTGGGTTAAGGAGGGAGGGAGTTTATAAATTATCCTTAGTTTCGACTCCAAAACGATATGAGACTTTTTTAGGCATATCGGAACAAGTCCCTCAATCGAGAATCAGGGGCAAGAGTGGCCTAAGCCTTCCTTCTAGTGCCAATGTTTTGATAGTAAGTCCGCTGTCATCATTAGGGTTACTACATCCGAGGTATTGTCTGCTTTGGCCCTGTTGGGCCGTCACGATTTTGTCCTTGAAAAAATGCCTTGGTGGGTTAACGAAGGGTGTTTATAAACTACCATCAACCTTGACTCCTAAGCGATGTGGGACTTTTTAAGACATACTTCATCTGTGCTTATCTTGGTAAGAACATTTTGGCGCCCACAGTGCGGTTGAAGTAAATCTCCTTTAGCCACATATGGTTTCAACGCAAAACCATACTAGAAGTGCAATAGGAGCCATACATCAAGAGACATCTACCATGGAAGATAATGTAGCATTGAGATGGTTCGTGGACCAAATTGAAGCAATGTGACAACAAAACATAGAAGCAATGCCTTGTCAACATGACATTGATCTCCAAACATTATGTGTTGAGAATGAAGTTATCAAGGATCAACTATGACAAAAACATCAACAACCTCAAAATGAAGGCATCCATATACCTACTAGGGAAGAAGAGTATCATTCTTCTCCCGATCACACGGTTGAAGTAAATCTCCTTTAGCCACATATGGTTTCAACGCAAATCCATACTAGAAGTGCAATAGGAGTCATACATCAAGAGACATCTACCATGGAAGATAATGTAGCATTGAGATGGTTCGTGGACCAAATTGAAACAATGTGACAACAAAACATAGAAGCAATGCCTTGTCAACATGACATTGATCTCCAAACATTATGTGTTGAGAATGAAGTTATCAAGGATCAACTATGACAACAACATCAACAACCTCAAAATGAAGGTAGCCATATACCTACTGGGGAAGAAGACTATCATTCTTCTCCCGATCACACTTACCGATTTGAATAGGAAACCAAGCAAACACATTGGTCTGAACATTCAACTACCCATTGTCATAGCCGGCACAACCATCATGCCACCAAATGTCACCCTTTTGTAGATAGGATCGTGGAAATCCCAATCCCTATAAGATGGAAAACGTTAAGCATTGAACGATATGATGGCACTTTAGATCCTGATGAGCATATAAATGCTTATGTTACTCAAATAAACATTTATACAAATGAAGATGCCATCATGTGTTGTGTATTTCCAACGTCACTAAAAGGAGTCGCGTTAAGTTGGTACACTCAGTTGCCTACAACTTTGATACTCTTGTTCGATGTTTTACGATATAGTATGCCATTAGTAGGCCCCATCACATCACCTCTGCTACTCTTTCAAACTTGCGACAAAGAGAAGATGAGTTGTTGAGACATGCTTTGCTAGTGTTTCTATGAAAATTCGTAATCATAATCCTGAGGTAGCCTTACATTCCATGTTCATGGCCCTTAAACCAGAACCTTTCATTGACAATTTGTGTTGGAGACAATCAAACAACATGGATGAACTTGGTGCACATGCTGCTAGTTATATCCAGATGGAAGAACATGTTGAATTTAGAAATAAATTTTGAGGAAGTACTTCTAAGAAAAGTGAAACAAGTAGCAAGGAAAAGTTGAAGGTTGTTAACGAGATGAAATTCAAAAGACCTTGTCCAACACGAGGTCCAAGGTATGATTTTTACACCTCGCTAAATGCTCCTCATGTTAACATCCTAAAAGAAGCTAACCATGTAGATCTAATTTCTTTGCCCCCATCAGGGCATTATCCAACAAATGAGGATGAGAGTAAACATTATCGTTACCATAGAAATTATGGTCACATGACTGAAGAATATGTTGGACTCTTAATGATCGCATAGAAGAGCTTATTCAAGTCGGACAACTTGGTCAATACATCTAACATAACCATTCACATCATGGAGCTAACGTGGACGAGATAAAGGTCACAAGCGTAACCAAAATCATCAAACTCGATAAGATCGACAACATGACGAGCGTCAAACCTCCAATAATGCAGAATAACAACTGGAGAACATAAACAATGACAAAAACAATCTTCGTGGCATAATTAATACCATTGTTGGTGGATTTCTAGGAAGAGGTAGTTCAATTTCAACAAGAAAACAACATCTACAGGGATGTTGACAATGTCTTTCAACACAGATGGAGAGCAAATTGATATTTTCTTACAAAGTAATGTTATATCGGGAAGAGTTCTATATCTACTCTTGTATTTCCCCACATCACCTCTAACCCACTCAAACCCAGGTATGACAATCGATGAGTGAGAATCCTTTTTATTATTTTCCCCTTTCTTTCATTTTTTGCTATTAACAGCAACAACATTGTCAGACAACTCAACTTTTTCCCCTTACTTAATTTCTTAAGAGATGATAGTCTGACTTAATTAGAGTGAATGTGAGATGAAAAACCCTTGTTGCCTTCCATGTATTGTGAATGAAATTATCTAAGTTGAAAAATATGTAGAAGAAAAACATTGTAGTACCTTGAAAAAGGGAATAGGTGAGGCAACGGAAGCTTTTCAAATTTCAAAAGGAAGGACAACGAAATAGAGGGACAAAAGGAATGGTGAAATAAGGAGCAAAAAGAAATTGTGAGACAGTGTGGGAGAATGATAATGACACTCTTACATATTTAAAGGGTTGGAATTGGCACACCTATTGATGACGAGCCGCCAATGTAAAATCCCATTATTGTGAAAAGTCGAGAAATGAAAAGACATCCCAAAAAATTAACGTTCAAAAATGAATAGATGTCATAAATGAAAAGTGGAGGGCAAATGACTCGCACTAAGTTATTACATCCCTTGGTATTCCAACCGATTTTGTTTTATTCTTATTAAATTATAATGAACATCTATATATACATGTAAGCATTATATGTAACGACGAAGCCCATTACTTGATTATATTTGTGACAACCTCTTTCACTATAGTATAGTTTAGAGCTTGGGAGGTTTATGTACCAACCTCACTGATAATGTAAACTCGGCCATGCACTTATGTCAAAACCTCATTGGATAACGTAAACTCGATCACTTATTTTATATTATTGTCACGTCGATGACATAAAATAATCGAGCATTTATATCACCAAGGTGGTATGTTGAATTCATATACCGAGTTTACGTGTCAACATATTAATTGAACACACATGGTAACTGTTACAACTACAAAGCAAAAGAAAATGGACAAATGCAACTAATATGGAAGAGGGGTACACATTATATACAAGAAAAAAAATGAGATTATATAGGACATCTGAAATAACTTGATCATCAGAGTGTTTTTTGCAAGTATTAATACTATTTCAAAATGAGGAGTTGAGAAGATTCATTCTAGCCTTTAAGGAGAAGAATGAAGAACAATTTTACGAGATAAGTACTTTATCTGAGTTTATCTTGGTAAGAACATGTACCATGTTTGTTTTGGGGATTCAGGTACTCTTTTGGTATCTTGAACCATGAGTGTTTGACATGGTACCATGTTTGTTTAGGGGGTTTTATACCCTTATGGTATCCTTCGATGCATGTTTGACATGTTATTTTTTTCACATAATTATAATTTGATTTTAAATAAAATGTTTGTTTGTTTTTCGTAACATTATTTAATTCTGATAATGTGTTTTTTTAATTTCAAAACCACCATGCACACCTCAAAACAATTATCAGGGTTATTTTTTCAAAACCATTTGGGTAATCAAAACTATGTACTCAATAGGAATTTGG